ATTTGGGACCAAATCCAGCGTGCGAAGAGAGAGAAGAGCGACCTGCATGTGATGTAGTTAGACCTTGCCAACGCGTACAGCTCAGTGACGCACAAGCTGATAGACTTTGCTTTGGAATTCTTCCATATCCCAGATTGTGTGAACATCATAGCCAAATACTTAAGCAACCTGCACATGGGCTTCACCCTGGAAGGCTACACATCAGGATGGCAACAGCTGGAATGCGGCATTGCCATGGGATGCGCAATCTCCCCAATCTTGTTTGTGATAGCCTTTGAGATAATCTTCATAGGGGCAAGGCAGGTGATGGGAGGTATCAAGTTACCAGGCTTCTCCCGCTTAGGAGTTAAATTGAAGTTGTCACAAGCATCCTTCAGACGGCTCCATGCACGGCGAGGCTCCTCTATCGCCTTGATGAGCTCATCACAAGGGCAAGTATGAAGATAAAGGCGGAATTATCAAGAAGTCTCTCATTGAGGAAAGGGGTGCCACAGAACAAGACCATCTTTGTTGCTGGTGGATAGCCGATCCCACGGCTGGGCAGACTTTTCTGACAGACACATGGGGAAGCTACCATCACTGTACCATCAAGTGTTGTGGCCACTAAAGGTCAGCGAGATTCCATCATCAGAGGTCAGCAGGATGGACAGCCAAGCTAACAACTACATCCGAAAGTGGTTGGGCTTGCACCGCTGACAACGGCAGCGCTATTTTCAACTTTTCATCAGACATTCTTGATAAGAAGTAACTTACTTCTGAGAAAATTGCCTTCTCGTAACACAACAACATTTTATTTATCCGTGTTCTTCCTCGTCCTTTTCCAGTTTTCCCTTTTTGGAATGACGATTACAGACTACCGCAACCTGCTGACATGGAGAGTTATTGCCTCTCATGCATGCGCAGAACGTACGTGGTTGTTGGCCGTCGTCTATAGTCTTTGCTGTGTGTTATAGTGCAACTTTTTGGCCAAGACAAAAGGCGTCGCCCGCCGACACCACAGGCGGTCTTCATCGCCACCAGTTCTTGGCCATCTGCTTGGTGTGTCAGGGCCTTAAAAGAACCCTGCTCTGTCAGTCTGTGCAAGAACAATACACCATTCATACGTTGTCTGTGTCACAAGTCAAGCTCTAGATTAACACCACCAGCTTCCCCTTCACTACCTGCAAGCCTTACCTGTTCTGTGTCTTCACCTGGGTTCAACCATAACCACAATGTAAACCAGAACAGTATTACTAACTCAAAGCCATTAAGGGTACAGAACTTAAAAGCAGCTAATTAGTTAACAAAACAATAAACTATTGAGTTCTCTGAACGAGTGATGTGTTTTCATTTAATATGGATCAATGTGTTTGAGTTAATATCCATCTCTAAATCATATCATTTGAGTTAACAGAGGGACGCAGCATATGACGTCATCGACGTCGCTACGCTCACTCACGCTATTGAAAAACTCACAACGGCCATACTAGAAGCGGCACAAGTTTGAAAGTTAGGGTAACGTCAACATGACGGTGTGCCAGTGACTGAAGCCACTACCATTCAACTGACTGGCATTATTTCAAGTCTCGGGCTGTTCCTTGTTCTAAGTCATCTGCTGTGGTGAGTAAAAAAGTTTCTCAAACTTCTCGTGTCTGTTTACTGGTGTATAACGTTAACAGAAGCTATAACGTTAGCATGCTAATACCTTGAGCTAACTGTTGTTGAAACTGCAGCAACGTTATTTAGATGAACTTTGACCCTACTGTGGAGGCAGGTAAGCTGCTGCGCTGACGTGTTTGAGATCAAATATAATGTTCTTCGTTGTATTTATTTGTCAGACTGCAGGACAAATCTTTCCCATCAGGTTGAAGTGGAGGAAGAGCACTGAACTTCAAGCTTTGAAGACATCAGGTAAGAAGTAAGCCATTTCTAAACTTTTTATATTATTACCTGTGAACCCACAGCCTTCTGTCTGCCCCAGCAGTACAGTGATAATCTTTAATGGTCTACTGCATTATAACATGATTTGTTGTTAAATTAAAATAAACATAAGCATTTGATTATGATGAACTGGAATAATCTAAATTATGTCATATTGCTAATTGAATCTTTTTCCCTTGGATCAAACTGAATATTAAGTAAAACTACAAATAATCTATTTTCAGTGTTACAGTTAAAAAGTGTTCATCAATATACTTTTATGTTTCTGTAGGTCTGCAGGTGTTTGCTGAGTTCCATTGCATCACAAATATGAACCTTCACAACACATTCTACAGCCAGCTGGACCGACACACACTGCAACAGCATACAGGCAGAAGGCCTCAGCGACATGAGAGACAGGCGCTGCAGGAGGATATATAAGCTGTAGGTAAATTACATACAGAAGAATAATCATTTTAACCTGCAGCTAAGGTTAATAATGATCATTTATTCTTATAGTCATAATGAGAATTTAAAAAGGAATTTCTTTTTTGGCCTAGGAACAGCATGATGTACACAAGAAGCACTCTGGCTCCTCATACCCTCCCATTGTACGGGCAAGGGGATCTTCAAGACCTGCAAGGTATGTACTCAGTGCAATTGTGCAATTATGAAAATGTCAATATCAATGACTAGTGTAAACTGTTTTTATAAAGTAAAATGTGACTTCCTGCATTTTACAGACTTTAATAGAAGAGATGGGTTTAGATTTTTCTATATTCTATCTAAATATAAGGCTTGCATGTGTTAATTACAGTGAAAGAGTATAAGGACTGTTATTATTCTTCCACTCCATGAGGCATACTGTATTAGGCCAGGTCCAACTGTAAGACATTTTCAATCCTTGTTGAACATAAGAAAATCTTCCCGTAGTTAGGCTGAAGCTAAAATGGTGCTTCAGCAGTCAGAGGTAAAAAAACAAGAATTAGTTGATTTTCTTTTTTTGTGGCAGGAAGAGGAAGCATGATTATCTTTGATGTGATTTGGCTAAGTCTGAGTTCTAGAGGCCTCATAATAACAATGAACTTTAGGTCGCATTTTAAAACAGAATTAGGACTTTCAATTTTGTCCTTTCACCCTTACAGTGGCTCACATTCAGCAGGTATTATAGAGACAGTATAGACAGAAAAAAAAGTGTGACCGCCAGTAACTGCCAACATGCATATTTACATGCGAGTGTTGTGTCAAGACAGAAACATATTTACTGATGCTTTTAATTGTGTGAGGAGCAAGAGCCTACTGTGCAGGACTTGTAATCTTGTTACTGGGATTATCTCCATCTTTTTTTCCTTTTATTTTTGCAATGGGATGATGAGCCAAACTTTGAAGACACCCCTGTAGCTCTCCTCTATGTGGTCACTGAGAGCTCCACTGGTACCATCCAGTTCAACCCTGACAGCATTTCTGATGTGATTGAAACAGACCTTGATGTGACGGGTCTCCCCAGGTTGGATGATGTACATTTTCATAATGTTGGTTTTTATCTGAAGGTGATCATTTTAGAAGGTTCCTTATCTACCTCAGCACATGATACGTGTGATTCATTATGTTAAATCATTGGATCTTTATTTGCTTTTGATTCCACAAAAGTTATTTTCTCATATTTTGTTTAAATTTATTGGTTATTTCTAATAATGTCCTTAATTTGCACCTTGTAGCACAGTTTAAGGTTCTTTGAATCCTGTGTAAAATAAACACTGTCAATGTTTCCATTGACACATGACTGGATCTACAAAACCATTCCAGTTGTTTCAAGTTGTATAGACTGTTTTAAACTTGAATAAAAAAGGTGAACTGAACAAAGTGAGTTGTATTAGTATTTTTTAACAATTGTTACTGAAATGAGGGTTTTCTTGTACATTTTGAGCTGATGAGAAGTTATTTTGTTTATCTTTTTCCTTCGGTGTATAAGTTTAGCACAATTTGATTTTTTCGATTAGATTTCCCCCAGGCTTTGGGTTGAGCACAAACAAATTTATTGAGTAGAAGAGTTGGTTGGATTTAATTTGAATGAGTATCATCAAATCAATTAAAGCGAGTATGCAGAACTTAAAAATATATATTTTTTACAAGTAATACATTTGAGTTGGGAAAACTTAAAAATTAAAAAAGAAAATAAGAAAACAATTGAGTGAACTGAAATTATATTTATTAATTTCAGTTCTACTAAAATATTTTATTTCTACTACTCAAAAACTTTGAGGTAATCAGTTACGACAAACATTTTGAGTACTTTCAACTTGTTCGGGTTTACAGTGCAATCAGCTGATTATCAAACATTTACATTCAAGTCACGCAAATTACACAAACCTTTGACCTAAAAAGAAACCAAAGGCGATGAAGTTGGTAGCTTTCAAAAGTGGTTCCATTTTGTTCAGATAAGACAATCTAAGGGAGCTTTTGAAGAAATCTGAGGCACTCAGACTTCTTTAAAAGCCTTTAAGTTGGATACTCGCACTGAAGAGCACCAGAAGGATTAATTATCAAAACTTTTTTCAACTTCCATGCAGCACTCCATGCATCTGCTTTTTAATCTAATGGAGCTTTTGCACAGTTTTAGGATACAACTGCCCCTGCTCTCCCCGGATTGTAACACAATTGATCTAAGTCAGTCTGTTGACTTCTGGCTTTAAGGTTATCTGAATTATTCAACATAGAGCGTAAACACACTGCATGAAACAGTCAAATAATCCCACACAGCAGGAAAGCTTTCTTCACAAAAAGTTATGAACCTGTATATCCATCACAGATATCAGGTTGAGCAATCAATAACCATCAACCATCCATGTTGTCTTGTGCTGAAACTGGCATTGAGGTTAAAGCAAAATTAAACATGTCACCTGATTCTGGTTTCACTGATGTTGAGTGGGCAAAGTTGGGACCATCATTGTTACTTGCTGTGCCAACAGTCCAACCTTGTTAATTAAAAAAATATAATTTCAAACTAAACATAATGAAAAAAAAAATATTAAATGTATTACGTAAATGATTGAATTACCTGAAGTTTTTTTTAAAGGTCTCACAATAGTGGAGGCACTAGACTACTTGTAGGCAGACCTGGTGAATAAAGTAAAAATAGAGTTAATACTTTAAAAGTGATCTAGAATCATACAATGTCCTACCTGTGGTTGTGATGAGTGATGGCGTCCTCTGGGTCCATCTGGACTCTTTCTCTACAATACCTGCAGCAGAAGAGGTTAGAGTGATATCAACGTCAATGTGCTTGACAACATGGGACATATCAGGCTTTCTTTTGATTTCCAGCACGGAAAAACCTCCTCTGTTTTTGCTGATGGAGAGGACTATAAAACATTGATGATAAAACCCAATAATAAGGAATCAACTGTCCTCTCATAACTGTTAATAACTGCTTTGTCGCTATCCAAAAGTGGATTTATATTAATTATCTTAATCCTAATCCTGACAAAACTGAAATATCATTTTATTGTCACAGATACCTTCACCACTGTAGTTGATCAGGTAATTGGCTCGTTTCAACCAAATATCAAATCTTGGTATCGTCTTTGACCAACGTATGACTTTGACCATCATACCACTAAGTTTGTCCAGGCAAACTCCTGCTGTGTGGGACTTGTTTAAAGGATAAATCAGGAGTCTGTTGGACTTGAATGTCTGAAAAAAATACGTTTTAACAGGAGTCTGATGTTTAAGGAAAATGTGGGACTGTAGTTTTGTGACAGTGCTAGTTAGTAAATGATGGTAAAAGAGTAAGCAACACTGAAATATGTAGTAGGCTATACTCACCTTGATCAGCAGGTGAAGTTACAATAGAAACTGAGGTTGTCAAAGTGCTGACACTCTCCTTGTTCGGTTTGCTCACCTAAAAATAAAATCAAAATGTTTTGTTCATGACATTTACACCACAGGGTTTTTCTTCTGCTGATCCAGCTTGAAGACAGATTTATTTACTTTGAACAGAGACAGAGGAATATTCACTTTCTGGAGATCGAGCATTTCTGTCTCCACTCTGAACAGTGTAAAAACATTTCACTTTGACCTCAGCAGGTGAACTCTGATGATCCATCCTCAGCAGCTCACTTCCTGTCAATGTCTGCAGACAGGAAAATGTCCTCACAGTTCCTCCACTTAAAGTGAAGTAATAACACTGAGACACTGATGATGGAGTCTGACAGTTCAGTGTGACTGAGTCTGCCTCTGTGATCACCGCTGGATCACAGTATAATACATATTCCCCCAGTGCTCCCATTAGTATGTTTGTTTTGAGCAAAATTAAACATGTCACCTGATTCTGGTTTCACTGATGTTGAGTGGGCAAAGTTGGGACCATCATTGTTACTTGCTGTGCCAACAGTCCAGCCTTGTTAAACAAAAAAAGATAATTTCAAACTAAATATAATGAAAAAAAAAATATTAAATGTATTACGTAAATGATTGAATTACCTGAAGTTTTTTTTAAAGGTCTCACAATAGTGGAGGCACTAGACCTACTTGTAGGCAGACCTGGTGAATAAAGTAAAATATTAGAGTTAATACTAGTTTGTAAAAGTGATCTAGAATCATACAATGTCCTACCTGTGGTTGTGATGAGTGATGGCGTCCTCTGGGTCCATCTGGACTCTTTCTCTACAATACCTGCAGCAGAAGAGGTTAGAGTGATATCAACGTCAATGTGCTTGACAACATGAGACATATCAGGCTTTCTTTTGATTTCCAGCACGGAAAAACCTCCTCTGTTTTTGCTGATGGAGAGGACTATAAAACTTTGATGATAAAACCCAATAATAAGGAATCAACTGTCCTCTCATAACTGTTAATAACTGCTTTGTCGCTATCCAAAAGTGGATTTATATTAATTTTCTTAATCCTAATCCTGACAAAACTGAAATATCATTTTATTGTCACAGATACCTTCACCACTGTAGTTGATCAGGTAATTGGCTCGTTTCAACCAAATATCAAATCTTGGTATCGTCTTTGACCAACGTATGACTTTGACCAACGTATGACTTTGACCATCATACCACTAAGTTTGTCCAGGCAAACTCCTGCTGTGTGGGACTTGTTTAAAGGATAAATCAGGAGTCTGTTGGACTTGAATGTCTGAAAAAAATACGTTTTAACAGGAGTCTGATGTTTAAGGAAAATGTGGGACTGTAGTTTTGTGACAGTGCTAGTTAGTAAATGACGGTAAAAGAGTAAGCAACACTAAAATATGCAGTAGGCTATACTCACCTTGATCAGCAGGTGAAGTTACGATAGAAACTGAGGTTGTCAAAGTGCTGAGACTCTCCTTGTTTGAGTTTGGCTCGCCTAAAAATAAAATCAAATGTTTTGTTCATGACATTTACACCACAGGGTTTTTCTTCTGCTGATCCAGCTTGAAGACAGATTTACTTACTTTGAACAGAGACAGAGGAATATTCACTTTCTGGAGATCGAGCATTTCTGTCTCCACTCTGAACAGTGTAAAAACATTTCACTTTGACCACAGCAGGTGAACTCTGATGATCCATCCTCAGCAGCTCACTTCCTGTCAATGTCTGCAGACAGGAAAATGTCCTCACAGTTCCTCCACTTAAAGTGAAGTACTGACACTGAGGCACATATGATGGAGTCTGACAGTTCAGTGTGACTGAGTCTGCCTCTGTGATCACCACTGGATCACAGTATAATACATATTCCACCAGTGCTCCCATTAGTATGTTTGTTTGAGTGTTTTTAGGACTATAAACAACAACAGATTATCTTATATAATCACTCTCAAAATAATTATTAAAACACACAAAGCAAATGTAGCTCAAATACATCTCAAATCTGCAAAAGCATTTTCATTCAAATAAATCACTTGACAAATGTATACTGATAGAGGATGCCTTTTGACAATATTCCAACTCTTTAAATCAGACTGCTTGAACTAGTTTGTTTCTTTCTGATGATGTAACAAAATATATGAATATTGAAAACACTTGTATTACTCACTTTGTATGCTGATGGAGACTGTGTCACTGTGTGGAGATGGAGCATTTCTGCCTCCACTCTGAACAGTGTAAAAACATTTCACTTTGACCTCAGCAGATGAACTCTGACGATCCATCTTCAGCAGTTCACTTCCTGTCAGTGTCTGCAGACAGGATAATGTCCTCACAGTTTCTCCAGTTTGGTAATAACACTGAGACACAGACACTGATGATGGAGCCTTACAGTTCAGTGTGACTGAGTCTGTCTCTTTGATCACTGCTGAATTCAGTGTAAGTTTAGGTGGAAGACGAGCTGAAAATATAAACCATGAATATGTTTTATCAAACTCAAACATAAGCTGTATATAAATGTTTAAATTCTTCAGTAGTGCAGCGATCACAGCACAGTTAGACATGAACCATGAGAGATCACAGACTGACCTTCTGTTTGAATCCCATTAAAGACATCTGTTTAAAAAACACAGTGAAAGTAAGGTGACTACACATAATAATAACTCCAAGAGTTCACACATTTCAACTCCTCCAACTATTCATTTATTTTAATCAAAAGTAGAATTATTAACTCAGACAAAAATAGATTTTATTTGTAACAACTGGCAGAACACACAAAACACAATATCACCGACTCAAAGCTTAATCACTGATATGATGATATCTGACATGACACATTAACGTCATGTTTCAATCTGCAGAGCTTTATAATAGTCCACAATAATACTGAATAAATCAATAAAGGTTTTACTTACACATGAAGAAGACAAACAGCAGACGTCCGGCCATGATGAAGCTGAACACTGAGACTGTACAGAGGATACGTGTGTGTCTCACTGTGTGGACTTTGTGGTTAATGAGACCAAGTTCTTAAATTAGATACATGAGAACGACAGCTATCAGAAATGAGACCCACTGACAGACAAACCACAGCTTAACATTTAAAGAACCATTTTTAAAGATCGAATATCCCACATTGGAAACTAACATCTGTAGAAAGATGACATAGTGTATGTAGGTGAAACATATGCCTACAGTACACTTCACTAACACACTGAGCTTGTTCATAGTCTGCTCTCACTAAAGACAAAGTTTGTTCATTTTCTTCTCATTGTTAAAACAGTTTATTCACACATTTGCCTCCTCGAGCTGTATGTTTCTTCTGGATGTTCAAAGTGACTGATCTCAAGCTTTTAGTCATTGTATGAACAATATTTTATATACAGTTGTGATAGATTTGTGTCTCAGTATATTGTAGTTTGTTTTCATTTATTTTATTCTGGTCATTGCAGTGAACAGCTGTTCAAAAAGCGGTTTCCTGCTAAAGAATCTAACTTACAAGAGTGTCCTGACCAAGAGGGGCAGCAGCACAACAAACATGTTACAGACATAAAACACAGAGTACTTACAAACACAGATCAACATGTCCTGAGTCACAGAGAAGAAAAGTCATTATTTAAAGCATCTCGCATTTTCCTCCAACACCTTCAATATACTTTAAAAATGATAAAAAGAGAGACCAGCTCCCCAAGACAAAGATCATCCTGAAGGAGATTCCAGCCAGCAGGAGCAGCGTACCTGAGACTCCTTTTCCCCGTTTAAAGACACAGTTTGGGGACAGATAACAATACGTTTTGTGACTGGCTCGTAGAGCAAAGACCTAGCTTCCAGTCGCATGAATACAATTACACAAGTGTGAGGGAAGCAGGTTAAAGGGATACTTCACCATTTGTATTACGCTTTGTATCATTAGAAACCTGGTAGTATTTTTGAATGGTCGTGCATCCCACCCTCATTTTCCCCTGAGATGGGAAATCTTTGTATTTCTAAGTCTGAAAAGAAGCTTCCAGTGACGCAAAATGACGATTTCTGCGTCACTGGAAGCTGTTGTAGTTAGCGGGGTGAAACTACAACGCTAGTTCCTCATATTTTCGACCACTGAAGCTACAGACCAATCACAGATCAGTGGGTGGGAACTCGCTCCCAGAATCTAAACTTAACGTCCGCCATATTGCTTGGAAGCTATGCTAACAGGCTCTATGGAGAAAGCTGATAATGGCGAAAAAATATAAATATAGTGGTGAGATGGCTGATGCCGACAGGCCGGTTTTGTGTTTTGGCTGCCACGAGCCCAGCCCCCGCGAGCCCTGACCCCAGGAGCCGCCGGGAGCCCAGCCGCGACATAAGACCAGCCTGTCGGCAGCAACCGTCTTTATGTTGTTATATTGCCGTCGCTGGCCACCGCCAGCTCAGCAGCAGAGACATGATGCCTGCCTGTCGGCGGCGGTGAGGATGAGGAGCCGGGGCCGGCTCGAGTTGGGGTGAACTGGTAGTGTCGGTGCTCTCACTGTTTGACGATGGACACAGTCATAGAGTCCGTTTTCTGCCATTAATTTCCAAGATCAGTTCTGGAAGAAATCTCAGAATCTGTTAAGGAAATGGTCTTATGTGTTGAAGTAAATATGTCTGTAAATGTTTTTATTACTATATTTTTACTGCTATACTGTATATTTAGGAGAAACTGTAACGATCAAATTTTCCCTCTGGATTATAAAGTATTTCTGATTCTGAACTAGAGGACCTTAGTGGGAGTGGCCTGCGTGCATTCTGGATTTGGTGTCTTTCATCAGCATGAGCCAAAAAGACACTTTCTGCCTTTTCACAGCCAAGAAGGCACCAACTTCAAAATGTATTTCACATTTCTACATATGACCCAATGTCAATACAGATTCATGTTTCAACGGGTGAAGTGTCCCTTTAAGTATAGCCTTATAAATAAGGACATGCCAATGAGTTTGTCTACTCATGGACAATGCAGGCCAGCCCCTTGATCATACAGTACAATCAAATCATCAATCAATCAGAGGCATAATGTAGCATCAACAAGTCATTTCAACATCAAGTAAAAACTAAGGAACGATATTATTGTTGAAATTCTAGATATTGAGTTTAGGTTTAGAGAGACTTTGCTGATCTTAACAATATTTGATGGGGATTCAAACTTTTTTTTTAAATTAATAGATTTATATTTTTAAACTATGACTTGAAAGATTCATTTTTTACATCCATTATTTTATCTGTGAGTTATTACATACTGTAGGTTTCATTGAAGGTGTTAATTCAGCAAGAGCTTAAGTCTGAATTCAAACCCTGTCAGCTCTGTTTCTTATTAAGAATGTGCAAAATGACAGTTTGTAGTAATTATATTTGAGACCAGTGATGTTTTTTGAGTTATCCGGAAATTCTAAATCTACGACAGGAGCCCTCTCAGTGGAATGTGTACAATGGGGCCCCTGTGTCCAGAGAGTTGCCCAGGGACATCTGGACAAGAGATTGTATCTGTGACCTGTGTTGTCCTTTGCGTTTATGACATGCATATATCTAAGACAGAAACCCCCGCAGTTGTAGTAAGAGGGGTGTCCTGAAAACAAACAGATGTCCCCATGTTGTTCTCCTGTGGGGTGTGTCCATAAATACCAGAGTTTCTGTGTGTTCGGGGGGAGATCACTTTTGGCTGTGTCTCTCCCAGGTCGAACCATGGCGAGCCTGGCGATGCTGTAACTTGTTTGTCAATAAAATGATCATTATGTAAGCAAGTCAGTGTCAACGGCGAATTTCTTCATCATCAAACATATCAACAACAAGGGAATCCACATCAGTGTGACCTGCAGTGTAAAAGCTCTTTGAGTAGTTAGAAGACTAAAAAAGCACTATACAAGCCCAAGTCCATTTACCATTTGCATGTGACAAACAGAAAATGTGTTTTTATAAAGAAACAAAAACTATTTGTTTTTTCCATTCATAAAAAAATAAATAAGGCGTATGATTTTTAGAACTGGGTCGGACTGAGGTCCGGTCGCTTTCTCATCTCAAAAGATCCTCACCAGGGTTTTAGTTTGTTTGAAGCGAACTAAACAAGATAGGTGTGAATACGGAGTGTCTGCATGAAGTGTTTGTGCTCTGAAAAGAAAAGCGCTGCATGTCCGACCTGTCTCTATTACAACAGTTGTTTTTTTTGACAACGGCTGCTTTATGACCCACATGGCTCTGTTACTTTTTACTGCATGTTTTATATTTAAGATCGTTTTTTACCCCAGCAGACACGATGCAATGAGGATAGAGTACAAGATACGATCTGTAGGTCGCTATAATTCAGGGAATATCAAACATTTTGAAAAGAGCGCTGGTGACGTTAACAGCACTGAAAAGTTAAAAAAGATATTCAACTTGAGTGGACGGATGTGCAGCACTTTTCTTCACAGCGTACAAACGCTTCACGGAGACACTCCCGAGCGTACAGCTGGCGCTCTCTGCCCAGAAAAACTAGAATTTGTATGTGAAACGATTTCGCTTCAGTCTGGTAGTAGCTAGCTTGGTAGAAGTTGTTCTCTAGATCAGTGGGAGTGGCCTGCGGTGCTGTGCATTCTGGGAGTTGTTGTCTTTCACCCACATGAGCCAAAAAGACACTTTCTGTCTTTTCTTGGCCAAGAAGGCACCAACTTCAAAATGTATTTCACATTTCTACATATATGACCCAATGTCAATATAGATTCATGTTTTAAAAAAATTAAAATTAATGAATTCATTTTCAAAAAGCGTGAACTACTTTGTCCCTTTAGTCGTATAGTCTGCAGCATCTCCCTGTAACCTCAGTGATGTAAAAGAATGACACCACAATGCCTTTGAATGTCTCATTCACCTAGCATTAGAACCGCCAAGACCGCCTGACAGACAGTTTGGGTTTTGTAATACAAATAACTATTTTTAAATTAAAACGATGAGCCTCTCATCCTATGACTTTTCTTAAATATGTGTCCTGTATGTTTTCTGAAGCCTGTGTTACTAAAATAAAACACACAACATTTCTGAACATTTAAACCTCTAACCGCCGCCTTCATATAGACGGCAGTTGAAAATGATAAATTTCCCTGGATTGTTTTTGTAGGCTATATAGTTTGTCATGCCTTGTTTTTGTTGTTGTTGTTGTTGTTTTCGGCATGCGTGTGTGTTGTTCAATCATTTCTTCTATGTCGGGGAAACAAACCCAGTTGCAGAGAGGAGGAAGAGCATCAATAAAAATGCACATTTTTTGCAGTGTTTTTATTAAATGACATAGCCTAATATAGCCAACATTATAATAGACTAAAAGTTATGTATGTTTCATTATTGTAGCAACGGGAGACGTGGAGCAGCAGTAAAAATCGGCACACTAAAAAAGCTGACAGATATTGTAAATTGACGAGACATTTAAAAGGTTTCCAATCCTGCCTTATGCTGATAGTCTTCATCAAACAAATGCATTATTTGTGCGCTTCTGAGCACAAACAATTAGATTTGCCTATGCAGCGCTTGGAGGGGAGTCTAGAATGTTGGCGATCCTAGTGTTAAAGAACTACACGGCTCAGTTGATGAGGCACAAGTAATATCCACCATGTGACTTCAAACATTTCCCTTTTTCACAGTTCAGCTGTTAAGTTCATTTTGTAACCTTGATCCACAGGAAGCTCGTTATTTTCTTTCAAAATAAAAGGTAGGTATTCAAACAGAGAAGTTTTTTCTTGTCACTGTAACTTTGCTAAATGTTGCTAAGTTCTGTGTTCATGATGGATCAATGCTGGGTCTTTGTAACATAACAATGAGTAAGGTCTTTTACCTGCTCTCTTGTAAAGTGTCTCGAGATAACGTGTTAACATGAATTGGTGCTTTACAAATAAAGGTTAATTGATTGATTGATTGAGAGAATACGGTACCCTTAACTTAAGTTAAGAAAAGGGTAGGCATGTTTGAAGAGAATTGGACAGTGTTTTTCTTTGTGTCTTGTAAGATGTTGTGGTAAACATTTCAAAACACAATGGCAGCAAGCCCCTCAATCTTATATTTGTAATTAGTCATATGTTTCAGGTTACTCCCTGTCAAATGTCATACCTCTATCACTATTTATGGATTGATAGTATCTTTATATGTGCAGTGACATCATGTAGACTAAAGTCCCCGAGTTGGATGTGGTCATTATCATTTTGAGATGGCCAAAGGTTTATGCCAACAGAAAATAATGCTGAAAAGAAGCAAAATACCTGCTGAGGGCTGGACCTGGCTCACAGCCTTTTTACATTCCCCTTACCCATCATGCATTGTATCCATCCTGTATTACTCCTGGCCTTGGAGCCAGAGGAAGACATGTTATTTTGAAATTTGTCTAAAATATGTTAAAAAAGTGATGACTTCATTTTATTGTATTTATTTATTTTGTCAATGTGTTTCTGCTCTTCTCTCTTTGTCCTCACAGTGTGGACTAACCATGACCTTACTGAAATATTTGATGGAGACAAACAAAGAAATAAAATAAAGAATCAATCCAGACACCAGTAAAATAATCCCTCAGTTCATCCTGTGTGTGATGGAGGTGAATGACTCAGTGAGCTGTGGTTTACTGCTGTCTTCCTGTCACAAACATTATCTGACTTCTGCTCATCTGTTGGTTTTTGTTCAGCCTGCTCGGATCATTTCTCACTGTGGGGGTTAACAAACAGGAGCAGTAGTATGTGGCTGAATGAGAGGAATTAACCTTCTGGATCTGCAGCTCAACACCGTTCTGTTTGATCACAGCTGAGAAATCATCTTTCTGAGGATGATTGTAAAGAGCTTTGTACACTTCACCATTACTCTTATCAATCCTCAGAATCCTTGTAAATGTTACGTTGTCTTTTTTCTGGAACCAGAACACATAATCATAACCTAAATAACACAGGTCTAAACGTTCACAGCTGAAGGAGACACTTTCTCCAACTCTCCTGGTCAGTGACAAACTGTCCTGTTTGAGCTCTGTTGTCATGGCAGCCAGCGCTATAGAGAAACAGACAGATGGAGGTTAGTGAGACAGTTCTTTTTTTTAATAACACTTTTTTCACCTCCTCGATGAGGTAATGTTAAAACCAGATCAGTATAATCCCACAGTTTAGTTAAAGTCATTACACAGAGACAGGGCTGGTTTATTACAGGTTGAGTTTGTTGGCTCCTGATTGGCTGGAAACACTCACCTGAGCTCACACAGCACAGAGCCACAGCAGGGAGGAGAAACATTTTGTTGTTTTCCTCTGGTGAACCTGACGAGAAGTGAGGCCAAACCAGGACGAGCTGCGGGGTCAGACTGAGCCGGGCGGTTTCTAACAGGTCCTCAGAACTCCCATCAGCCCCTGCTGCTGACTGATGATTGACAGCTGGGCTGGAGCTGCTGTGTGGTTTTCTGCAGAGTCTGAGGTTTTGAAGGAGGGAAGAGGCGGAGCTAAGTATCAACAGACAGGATACAGTAACATAAAACTCAGAATATCTCTTTAGATTTTAAATGTGATTATAGAGGTCAGTGACTGCAGGCCTGATCCAAACAGTAGCATCGTATGCTTTTCTTATGGTGGACATTAGTGTCTTTATAATCTCACACAATAAACCAGTTGTGTTTCTAGAAAATGTACTTTAAAAAAACAAAAACATTTTGGGTTTTTTCTTTTAAATTAACGGCTCATTTGACTTTTTTTGTAGTCGTATAAAAGAAATCAAAATGAAGACCCATGTAGACGGGACAATACTGTCTGCTGTGATCGTTTCTTTTAAACATCTTGGAAATTAGAATTTCTGACTTACATCAGGTTTCAGTATTTATAAACTAAATATTTTAAAGTTGATATACATTTTTTTATTATTATTGTTAAGATTTCTTGTTTTTAATGTCATTCTTCTCTTTTTTTCCCCTCCTCCTACCTCCTTCTCTTCTGTTTATTTTTACACCAACAGCTCACTCCATTAAAGATTAAATGTGATCTTATTTTTGAAAAGTATCAGAGCTTATTAGAGAAGTTTCACATTATCAGTGTCTCAGTTTCCGAGTTCATTATATAAACAGTTTTTCTCTCACAGATTAATACCAACGATTAGACATGAGAAAGTTTTCAGCACAAACTAAAGTTCCTGGAACAATTATTAAACCACATTCAAAGGTTGTAACTGTCGTTGTGTTATTAATATGAAAAACCTCAGATAACGGTGAGGAGGAGGCTGCAAAGAGGAAACCCACAGAGCTCGTCTGCTGTGTTTGATCATCTATTGTTTTATAAGTCCTGATAACCTCTGAGAACAGAAACATATCTGCTGCTGTATGAACTCATCGACTCCTCTCCCTCCCTCTGCTGGATTTCAATTCTCGCTGAGTCTGCAAGAAGTTTTCCACTGAGATAGAGGTGTAACAGAAGAGAGTCCAGAGGCATAAAGTCACAAATAAACTTCATTTTTTTATTTGACAGAATGCAGACTTCAGAGAAACTCAAAATGAAAACGAATTCTTGATCAGATGGAAGATGTCTGTGTTTGCTGCTGATGCTGACAGGACTCATTAAGGAGAAAGAGCACCACCCTTTGGTTAGTCAGAGTAAGTGCAGGAATATCATGGTGACGTGCTCACCTCACGGCTGCTTCAACCACTGTGACATCTAGTGGAGTAAAAACACACAACAGGAAATGACGGCAGATCCTGCTTTAAAAAAAAATAGGGGACATGAAGAGAGTGATACATTTAACAAAACTGTAAAGTTAAAAAACACTGTCAGGTAGATCAGTGATGAATGCATCATAAGAATGAGTGCAGAGAGCTGTTGGTGTGAGGAAAACACTAAACATACACAAACCAGTTTGAAGAACCTGGAGGAGGAAGAGGAGTGGACCCCCTCTAGATTCTGACTTCATGAATGTTAATTAAACCGTTTTGTCAGAGATACATTTGAGTCCAGAGAAGCACATGTTAACAATTCAATGGTGCCATTCACTATATAGTGACTTGAAGAGGCAGACCGATCTCCATCATGGTTTTCTTTTGAGTGTTATAGTCAGTCACAGTCTAGAACAAAATGATGTTCTTATTCTACATAAACTATAAACAGACTATATAAAACAATTCCATTAAATGAATAATTTAATATTTCATTTGATATTTTCGTCATATCCAAATATGCTGTGATGATTGCTGGGCAGTGTTAGGCAAGTTACTTCCAAAATGTAACACATTATATATTAGTAGTTACTGTCATTTAAAAGTAATTAGTTACATTACAATATTTCTGTCTCTGAATTGTAATGTGTTACACTACTTTTGAGTTGCTTATCAACTGCTTATCAATAAAACAAAGGCCAATTTGCCAAGAAGTGGCTAATACATAGGCTACCAAACAAAGGCTGGTAAAATTAAAATAACTTATAGCTAGAACTCTAGCTGATGACCACATTTTTCAAGAATACTAAAAATAAATCAAACACACATAAGAAAATTGAAAATAAAAAATGAAGGCTAAACAGGAAACCTGTTACAGCCAAATAGCCTATACAACAGAGGTAGCATACAGCCAAAGAAGGCTGGTAAAATTAACTGAACTATAAAGGCACTTATGGCCTGGACCTTTCCATAGCCTACTTACCTCTGTTTCCACTGACATGGGCACATCAGCCATGGCATTGGGCTGTACATCAAAGGAAAAAAAGTCATCCTCGCTGGTAGCAGCAGGTTGAGGGGCATCGGGCATCAGGGCTGTAGGCTCTTCTGTTGTTAGGGAGCGGCACTCCGTTGTGAGGAGGAACTTGATGTGGTCTCTTCTGGCTTCTTCTTTTACCCAGCGCAGCTTGAACTTTGGCAGGGAGACAGCAGCCAGAAGTGCATCCTTGGAATCAATTGTGGTGGCAAAATCGAGTTTTGATTGCTCCCACAATAACCTCAGGCAGCCCAGTGGTCATTTGTGATAGGCCATTTTTCATTACTAAGGTTTTGGCCATCAGAACTTCTAGCGTTGGTTGAAGCGTTCCATAAAAACAAGTGTCCTCACCCTGTAGGATGTCCAGTGCGACTGTGAAAGGCTTCATAATGGCACAACATTCCTTGAGAAACTGGTATTCCCTGTCGTTCATACATTTAATCTGAAGCTGTGTGCAGAGGCTATTGATGTCAGTCAGGGGCATTTCTGTGATCCGAGCATAGGCGTTATAGAATGAGTTCCACCGTGTTACTGTGGGGACAATCAACTTCCTATCACTGACCTCTTCCAGGCACTCTGATGCGACTGTGGAGTGACTGGCCTTTGTCCACAGCGCTGAACATTTGAAGATAGCTCCATGTTAAACTCATGCTGTGTTTAAATGGGTTAATTATATATGGATACTGGTACAGGGGTTCAAGTAAAAAAAAGAAATCCTGAGCCTGAAGTGCACAGATTCACTTCTCTTCAACAACAGCATGTGCTTTGCACCATTTATTTTCAAATACTATATGTGAAAATACTTTACGTAAACAGTAACAGTGCAATAGCTTTCAACACAACTGTGAACAATACTGCAACACTATAATTACAACTTATGTGTTTGAGTAAAAAGCAGCTGAGACATTCACCCTCTGCCCGAAACACTTTGAATATCTCCAGTCCTCCTTAAGGCCCCCCTCCCGATAAGCCCAGTCTGCTATGATTGGTCAGCTCACACAGGTACAGCTCTCTGTCATATTATGTTTCTCCGGTCAGCTGTGCGGTGTTTTTAGCTGCCAGCTAGCGGCATTTCTACTGTGACTGTCTCTACAAAAATCACTTCTAAACCAAAAACTTCTCCACCGCACATTTAAGAGCAGGAATCTGATCTGTATGAGCCTCAGTCTCAGCCATACGCCGGCACGGTGCCAGAATACTTTAAGCCCTACCGGTATATACATTAGCGTTATGTTTAGGTTGCTGTTTGTAATAATAACACGCTAGATAGCTGCATGACCCAGTGATCTATACTATACTGTATATGAACCACTCTCTATGACAACGTTAGCTTACCTTGTCATTGCTGGCGTTGGTGGGGATTTTGCAGACAAACTTTTTAAAAGCTGGTGAATTCACTGTTGACAGAGGCTGCATATCCTCCACCACATACTCTGCCACCTGTCTCCTCACTTCTCTTGGTTCAAGTAGCACGGCAGACCGAGAGAAACTTAATTTCTGCTGCTTTGTCTGACTCTTTCCCGCACTTTCGTCCTCTGCTCTCTTTCTCTTCTTCCCGCCTGCATCTCTCTCTGTCAACTTGGTGTTAGCGTGGCACCGGTCCACGTGTTTCTTCAAGTTGCTGTTTTTGGATGTAGAAAGTTCCCTCGGTGTCGCACTCGCACACAGATTGCACTTGACAATAATGTTCTTGTCCTTTGATGTTGAATCTGTCTCTGTCATCTTAGCGAATTCCTTCTTCTTCTTCTTCTTGTTATTTTACGGCGGTATTAGCGACAGGAACAGGAAGTACTCTTATTCGCTGTATTTTTCTCTGTCTCTTGCAGAGTCGCGGTGTTGGTGAATTCTTAAAAAACAACACATCTCAGGTTAAAATGCATTGTAACGCGCGTTACTGAGATTTGTAACGGGTATAATATTACCGAAATTTTATTAGTAATGCGTTATATTACTGTGATACAGTATAAGTCTGAGCTGGTAAAAACTAGATCTCACAACAGTGGATATCTGTTTGGCAAATTTAAAAACATGATCAAAGTGCACACCAAGACTCTTTACAGATTTTTTCATATTAACAGCAAGCGGACCAATCATGTGTGTGTGTGTGTGTGTGTGTGTATGTGTGTGTGTGCGTGTGCATGTGCGTGTGCGTGTGCATGTGTGTGTGCGCGTACTAATGCCCGTCATGACTACCTTACACCCCTGGTGGGAGGACATATAAGCCAGGCTTCCTCAGCTTTCTTGCTCTCTCTCCCTCTGGACAGCAAAGACAGACAACCTTCTGCCATTGTTTTTGGTTTGTTGTTGAATGAAATATAACCTAAAAAGCAAGTTTACTGTGTGGTTCTCCCTTGACTGTTACAGCCTAGACGAGCTGGTCATAACACTTTGTAGTGAATAATATATAATAATAGTAATAATGTTTATTTATAGAGCACTTTTCAAAAACACGTCACAAAGTGCTTTACAAGGACAGTAAAAACAAATGTAAGAACAGGCAGGTCATAGAATAATAAACAAGGCAAAGATTAAGAAATAACCACTTTAAGATATAAAATCCATTTAAAAGAACTGTATAACACATTCTTTTAAAGGAATTTTAAAAGGTGAAATTAAGTAACAATTTAAAATCAACTAAACTCAGGAAAGGCTCGCCAGTAAAAGTTTGTTTTTAGAAGGGACTTAAGAGAGATGACTGATTCGGCTGACCTGATCTCCTAGATGCTAAAACAGGAGTGATGTGGTTATGCTTTCTGGTTCTGGTTAAAAGCCTGGCAGCTGAGTTCTGTACCAACTGAAGTCGAACTTTAGATTTTTGGTTCAGGCAAGTAAAAAGACTATCACAGCAGTCAAGTCTTGATGAGATAAAAGCATGGAAAATCATCTCTGTGTCTTTAACAGTTAAAATTGATCGAATTTTTGAGATATTTCTGAGCTGATAAAAACAAGACTGTACAAGCTTTGTTGTGTGCTGCTCAAAATGTAAGTTGCTGTCTAACCAGAAACCCAGATTTTTGGCAGCAGGGTTGATATGGTTTACTAGGGGACCAGCAGATGGCAGTATTTGCTCAGTCAGGTGCTGTGGTGATCAATTCTATTGAAGGCTGTACTAAGGTCCAAGAGTACCAGGACTGAGCACATACCTTCATCTGCGGCAATTAAAAGGACATTTTGTACCTTAAGCAAGGCAGTCTCAGTGCTGTGAAACTTCCTGAAACCTGATGAAGTTTTTCAAAAATGCAATTATTTTCCATCACATCGAGACGTTGTTTTGACACAATCTTTTCTAAAATCTTGGAAATAAAAGGCAATTTGGAAATTGGCCTGTAGTTCTGAGGCAGGGAGGGGGTCTAGTCCAAGTTTTTTCAGCAGTGGATGTACTCAGGTAGTTTTAAAATAGTCAGGGACCCAACCCTTGGACAGAGAACTGTTAAAAATTGAAAGCAGCCAGGGCCCGACAGAGTCCATTCCTTTGAGTAAAAACTTGGTTGGTATCACATTAAGAGGGTTGGAAGCACTGGTGTAGTGCAGAGTATACGGAGTATGCCCACTTATAAATCTCCTCTGATTCACACCATTGATTGACTGACTATATTCAGTAGTATGCTGCATTTTGTTATTAGGATGGTGAAGGGATCACTCTCCTACTCTGTCTCTGCTTTGCAAGTACGTGCTAACTTAATCTGTGAGAATAGTCTTACATGTCATTGTTTATAACAGAGGCTCTTTATCCTCTGCTGGACGGATACTTAATAAAAGCATTGTGGGTAAAAAGAGTATACCCACTTCTTTAGGCACCACTACACCACTGGTTGGAAGACACTCTCATATGTGAAACTGTTTCTAAAAGTTCAGCTGAAGTAAATGGATAAAACTGGAACTCTATCTTGAGGGTGAAGGGAGTCAGAGCAGCTAACATTTGAGGTAATTGAGGCTCTGATTGACATCACTTTATCAGTAAAATAAGATAAAAAACTTTTCACAATCTGCGTTGCTGTAAACTGAAGCACTTGGAGGATCTGGATTTACTAGTTGGTTGATTGTCTTGAATAAAATTCTTGGGTTGTGTTGATTGCAGGAGACTAGTTCAGAAAAGTATTGTGTTTCATTCTTAACCATTCTGTTGTATTGTGTTAAAAAGTCCTTCATGATATTGTAGAGTATTTGTAGGTCAGATTTGTTTCACTTGCGTTCTGCTTTCCTTTTTACAGCTGTGAATATTTTCATTAATCCAAGGCTGCTTTACTGAAATCACATATTAGATAGTTCAGAGTCTTATTATAATGTAAAGCCTGTTAAAAATGAAGTAAATGCAAAGATCATTATACATTTGTAATAATGTTTTTAAATGTTTAGATGTCATCTTTAAAGAATAAAAACATCTGCATAGACTGGACATTGTGTGATTTTTCTAAATAACAATTAAAACAAGTAGAACATTTTTTTAATGAGCAAAAATCCTGAACCAAAGCTTTCCCGTTATCTTCTCACATGTTTTTATTTGATTGTATGTAATGAACCCACTGAGATCAAGATCTCTTTGACGACGGTGAGCTGGCCAAGAGGGCAGCAGCTCACGTCATAATAAACATGACATGATTAATAAACAGTTCACAAACAATAAGTTAAGAGCAGACAACAATTACAATGTGCTAATCAGTTTACAGATGAAGTGCAGAAGTTGTGATCACAGATTTCTATTTTTAAAAACAGACACAGTCCAACGGTCAAACGTTTTCTGTCTTCTACGTTCTCCAAGATGACTAGGGGATGAGGGGAGTACTAATACATTAAAACCCAGGGAAAAGAAATAGGAACTAAATATGAGCAAAGTTTAAAAGGATTTATTAACAAACTAAACATGAAGGTGCAACACAAAACAAGCTTCTTCTATAAAACACAAAACAATAGAGAAGCCAATCAATCTTAATCAAACATCAGAAAACTAACAAACGATACAAAGAATAAGGCTTCAATCAAAACACTCCTTCCACAGAAGGATCACAGGTTTTCTCCACGTCAAAGACAAGCACACAGGTAGATGAATGACCCACTGGCAGCCTCCTCTCTCCTGCTCTTTATAGTTTTGCTCCTGATTAGTAATTAGCCACAGGTGTGGCTGGGCACTCTGAGGCTGAGGAGCAACACCTGGGGAGCACACACAGGAGAGAGAGAAAACACAAACACTACACGTAACACCAAAGGCTTCAAGTGAAATGAGATCTTCCAGTTAGAAGTCACTCTGGAGAAAGATCCCTGCAGAGGGATCAGCAAAACTAAACGCTCTTTTCCCGAGGTCAGCGTGGACACGAGGAACAGACAGAGGCGCTGCTTGTCAACAGGCAAGGAAGGCAACTGCTTGGGGCCCCAGGCCAGAAAGGGCCCCCAAGGCAGACAAACTTAAAACCACAGCAGTAGCTCAAAATGTGCAAATATTGCAATGACAGTAGGAAACCTCCCTAATAGGGCCCCATTTGACAGCAGTCTCTCTCGTTGCCCTGCTAAGCCTCTCATGTAGTATTCCTTCATCACAATTAAACCACTAAAGGAAAATGATGAGGAATGATCTGTGTGGGAGTGAAAAAAGAAAGAGGAAGAGTGTCTGAACACTGGCAGACATAATGGTGGTTGGAGGGGCCCCCAATGAATTTCTGCCTAGGGCCCCAACAGACTAATCACCACTGGGAACAGACAGTTTAAAAACCTCCCAGGAACACAAGGCATAGTGTCTCCTTGTTCTTTGAAGGTATGGACATAAATAAGAAGGAACTAAACCAAGAAGAGCTTTATAGATACGACTCAGCCGGTGTGTATACCTGCTACTTTTTTGTTGTAGACAATGTGCAGGACTTTGACTGCAATTTAGATTAAAAACAAGAAACTATTCAATATCAGGTCTAGGACTTTTATTTGTGTTGCCATGGTATCAAACAATGAATATATGTATCATTTCATTTTTATTAGAATCACCACCTCTGCAACTTAACTCAATGTAACAACCATTTGGGTTCACTTGATCTCTTTTTTTATTCATTGCCAAACTTTAATCAATCAATCAAACTTTATTTGTAAAGCACAATTATTAAAGGGTAGTTCAAAGGTCAAAGTTTTCACCGGCAGTCTGATAGTGTTTGTGATAATCTGCTGTCAGATATAAATCAAGAAAGAGAAACATTTTACAGTTCAGAGGAATAAATATTAAACACATAATTTAAACCTATGAAATTAAAATTAAGAAACACATTTTCATAATAATGGCTAATGGCTGATATACCGTAGTCTTCTATTAGGCCTACAGAAAAAGAAAGAAAACATTTAGGACCTGGTCGTGGATCTGTGTGGTCATTGTGGAGGATTACTGGGAGTAAATCTGGACAATAAACTGAGACTGGTCCAAGAACATGGAGGCCGTCTACTCTTCTTCCTGAGGAGGCTGAGGTCCTTTAACATCTGCAGGACCATGCTGAGGATGTTCTATGAGTCTGTGCTTTCCAGTGCTATCCTTTCTTCGTTGTGTGCTGGGGCAGCAGGCTGAGGGTAGTGGACTCCAACAGACTCAACAAAATGATCCTCAAGGCCAGCGACGTTGTGGGGATGGAGCTGGACTCTCTGATGGAGCGGTGTCAGAAAGCAGGATGCTGTCTAAGCTGCATGTCCTCTTGGAGAATGTCTCCCACCTCCTCCACGACGTGCTGGTCAGACTCAGGAGCACATTCATGGCA